TTCGGAAATTCATAAATTTGAATTTGTTTTTATTTAAAGCAACATGTAAATATAAAAATTAATGACAATATTAAATAGTATAATACGTAAAATAATAAATATTAATATTAAATTAATAGAATTCGTTCTAAGAACGTTGTTTAATAAATAATAATAATTAACAATCAAATTATTCTATTTTGATTTTTATTTATAATTTATAATAATGGGATGGGATAATAGTCAAGATCTGCAGACTTAGCAGAACCACCAACAACACTAATTGCACAGCCTAGAACATCCTGTGTGTTTGGATTTCTAACAACAACTGCAATACCGTATGGGTCGGGTAATTTTGCTGGCACATCAACATTCAATACTTGAGAAAATGGTGTTTTAGGGTCGGTTGGCGCACTAGTTGGATTACCTACGGAAGTCTCATTTACAGGATTAAGAAATGCAACATGGGTAATGTCGCCATCGGCGACAGCACGACTTAGTGTTCCAGAAATAGTAAAACTATCAGTTTTTCCAGGAGCGACAGGGTCAGGTGAAAGTACGACCTTGAGTAGAGGTGGTGGTACTTCTCTAGATTTTACAGGAAGACATTGAAGAAAGGAAGTAGTTCTTTTAAGAAGTTGATGTGGAATAGCATTTACCACCATGGAGAGCGTAGCCAATAAAAGGAAAGCAAAAATAAACTTCATGATCTTTGTAAAGATGGAGTTTTATTTGTATAAAATTTTATTTGTGAAGAATTTTATTTGTGAATTTAGAGTAAATCGAAATTGCTGCCTTTTTATAAGAAACAAAGTTGCCCAGACTAATTATATTTCATATTCACGGAAATAAGTAATTGTGAAATTTAAACAATAAATTTGACATTTCATGTAAATTATGGACGTTCATTACATAGTTCTTTGAGAAATCCCAAAATTGAATGTACATTTGTGCGTGAATTTGATTCGCTTGCATGAAATTCAGAATTTGTATCCAAATTCAGTTTCAAATGTATGAAAGTTCGGTGAAATGTATGAACCTCTATTACTATGTAATGGGCGTCCGTCCTCAGAAATTAAAAATTTGATTTAAGATTAGATTAACTCATAAATTAGTTGATCAAAATTTATTTAATCTTAGGATTTGAATAAGATTTATTTTACTATATATTAATATTAAAAATAAATCTTACCCCCGAGTAAGATTTACAAACCAAATTTTAAATTTTTATAAAAAAAAAAAGGGAAATAAAATAAATTTTTTAAAAAAATAACATGTTTTTTGCAGAGTAGGGTTCCTAACTGTAATCCTACCCCCATTTGAATATTCGTAAATCCAAAAATTTCAAATATCATGAATATTTGTAATGAATATTCAAAATAAACACAAGTATCTGAAATAATTATGAATATCTGAAATAATTACGAATGCCTAAATATCCAAAATAATTATAAATATTTGAAATAGTTACAAAATAAATTGTATATATTCAAATATCCATTTCAAAATTTTTCAAGATTTTTGAGTATGTTTGTATGGTTTAAAAACGATACTTGTCACCCAGTCCCAGATTTCGATGGGCTTAAATGTATGATATTGACTCAATTGCCACCAGTATCAAGTCTGCAAGTTTACAGATTATTTGTATGGAAATTGTATCATCTTTTGTTACTAATTTTCAAAGGCAAGATGATCCTTCGTATTACAGCATTTGCAAGATGTTATAGAAATATCACAGACAAAGCATGGTAGTCATTTTAAATTAGCGTTGATTTTCAAAACTAGAGAGTTTTTTCAACTGTGCAAAAGTCAAAATCGAAACTAGTTTTGACATAACTTTCAATTTTAGTTTGGCTTCACCCCTTCAAAATAGTTTTGGCGACCAACAATATTTTAAATTGAAAATTAAGCCAATATAATCAACAACAAAATTAGAACATAACAAACATAGTTGGTCATAGACAAAGAAATCTGCAATGAAACAATAGGTGATATTGTCAACCTAGATATTAGTCAGAATACTGTCGGGATTGTTTTTTACATTCGTTGTGGCGTGGTTGTTCCAAAGGATACTGCCATATTTTTTACCTAGGTGTTCTAGTACTAGTGAATAAAAATTTCGGAAATTCATAAATTTGAATTTGTTTTTATTTAAAGCAACATGTAAATATAAAAATTAATGACAATATTAAATAATATAATACGTAAAATAATAAATATTAATATTAAATTAATAGAATCCGTTCTAAGAACGTTGTTTAATAAATAATAATAATTAACAATTAAATTATTCTATTTTGATTTTTATTATAATTTAAAATAATGCGATGGGATAAGAGTCAAGATCTACAGATTCAGCAGAGCCACCAATAAGACTTAATGCACAGCCTAGAACTTCCTGTGTTTTTGGATTCGCAACACCAGTTAAAATAACGTATGTAGCAGGTAATTCTGGTGCCACCTCAAGATCCAATACTTGAGAAAATGGTGTTTTAGGGTTGGCTGGCGCAGTAGTTGGTTCACCTATGGGAGCCTTAGCTGCAGGATCAATAAGTGCAACAGCGGCAATGTCGCCATCGATGACAGGACGACTTAGTGCTCCAGAAATAGTAACACTATCAGATTGTCCAGGAACGATAGGATCAGGTGAAAGTATGACATTGAGTAGTGGTGGTGGTACACCTCCAGGGGTTAAAGGAGGACATTGACTAAAGGTAGTAGTTCTTTTAAGAAGTTGATGTGGAATAGCATTGACCACCATGGAGAGCGTAGCCAATAAAAGGAAAGCAAAAA